TTTGATCTTGTGATGAATCTAGCACCTGCAGTCTCTAATAAAAGCCAGATGGAGTTGCAGTTCCCTCTCAGTTCCTAGAATCAGGCCCTTTGTTGGCAGTTGTTCATGTACAGCTGTTATATAGCACGGTTCTGGTTTCTTACACTGTCGAAACCTCTCCTTGAAGTCAATTAGTGCTGTGCCTGGACAAATATTGCAGGATCAGGCTGTTCATTAAAGCCCTGGGACCACAACTGCCTCTATTTGAATTTCGTAATATATCAGTCAAGGATACACAATTATCCACAGAGCACTTCTGAAATGGCCAAGGTCACATGAGGATTTTATTGTATTACTGCAGTGCACCATCTTCCTTGCCAGCCCGTTGCCCGTTCTGCTACAGACTACATTACCATGCATCAGCAAATACAGAAGCACGCTGCTATATTTAGTGTTTCATACATACCACTAAAATAGAGGATGTGTCAGCTTTTAATCTGACTTCAGAGTTTTGTCAGCAAAGTAAAAGCTCATTTTCCCTACCAGTGATGAAGTGTGCTCTGCGTTAGTCATCTTGAGCTGTGCGGTGATAACTTTAAAATACATTAGGCAGCCAGAACACTCAAGCTGAACAGAATGATTTTTACTAAGAGATATACTAGGAGATAGTAAGGACGCATAGCATCAGTCAGCCAGGTTTTAATAGTGACTACCACTGGCTATCTAAAAACCCAGTAGCAATCTGATGGCAGGAGGAGCAGCTAATCAAGGTGTTCCCTGTGGTACCAGAGCAGACAATTAGGACCTCTTGGGTTACAAGTCCAGAAGAGAGATAGGCAGGTGCAGACTGGGTTTGGTGTTATGCACCCGGCAATACGAGAAGAAAAGCACTGACCATGATGGCTTGAACAGAGTGGTCTGTTGCATGGTGATGGGACTGGGGCAGTTCTATTAATGACATCATCTGTTACAGACGGCAGGAATGTGGTTTAATGGTTGGAACTGCAGTTACCACCAGGATAGCCATGTTCATTTCCAAAGAAAGTAGGGTTCAGTGGATGAAGCTGTTGTTTTCACACATCTGGGTAAAGCCACAGAATAGGGTGGTTTTTACATATTCATAAAACTTGCTTATTCGTGCAGTCATGTACAGCGAGTACAAGTGTGAATCATCTTCCTGTCTCCTGATTACCCAGAAAGCCAACAGACTACTTGCTAATCTACAGACCAAGGGTAAGCCTGTCTACATGAAAACCAGCTTTTCCACTCTAAAGTGTTGATGCTCTCTTATGACTGTCCCTTGAACTTTGCTAACTACATCTTAAAGGGTGTGAGTGGCACCACCTTTGCAACCTAGGTCTAACTCCTAATAACACTGCATTCACTTAGTAGTGTGCAATTGTATAAGTATGTGAATACATAAATTTCCAAGTCTTTTTGGAATCCCATTTCAGCCCAACCCAGGGCTGTCCAGCCCAGCCCCATAATGCTGCAGCAGGGCTGTTCTCCAGCTCTGCCACAGCCCTGACAGACCATGAGACCCAACCTGCAGATTGATGTCCCATCCCATCCCTGGCCCTGCAGATTGATGTCCCATCCCATCCCTGGCCCTGCAGATTGATGTCCCATCCCATCCTTGGCCCTGCAGATTGAGGTCCCATCCCATCCCTGGCCCTGCAGATTGACGACCCATCCCATCCTTGGCCCATCCCTGTCCCCAGGACCCTGCCTGGACATCCTGGAGCCATGTCTGACCCTTTTCCCTTGTCTGTCCCCGGTCCCCAGGGAGCCACCAGCTCACGCTGCACCCTGCTGCTATTAAAGAAAACAGAAAGCAGAATAAACTCATGACTCTAGAGCCACATCTTACCATTATTTAGTATTTTTTCCTAACACACTGCTTTTTTAATGGTCAGAACATCATTATTTCCAGTGCATGCACTGTTGACAGCACCAGCGTTCATTATTACATCTGGAAATAACAGTACTAGGCCTGGTTAGCATGCAGCAACACTACCAGCAATACTGGCACTTCAGAAGAGGTTCCCTGGGGTGGCTGAGCAGTCTGTACAGCTAAAGCTTTTCTTAGGACACATTTCAGGTATCCTGCTTAACACATTGTGAGGTACCCATTGCAAATCCAGGGAGTAGAAGCCTCAAAATATTGCATTTATTTATTTGTAAAAAACCCCATAAAATAAAATTGTAAATAAAATGCAAGCAAGAGAGAGAACAACAGTCCAAAGGGCACGTTTTTTCCTCCTCTCATACACAAATAAGGATTCCATGGAGCCTGACTAAAAGCCAAGGACAGCCCAGCCCTGGGGAAAGGGCTGCAGGAGCCCCCCACCTTGGCTGCATCAGCTCTGGGCTGCCCCGTGCATCCCTGGCTCCTGCTGGGATGTGGTTAGAGGGGCTGGCCCCATCCAAAACGGTGGGTGCCGTATGGTGGGGAGGGCAGGATGCTGCCCCACTTTGACCCTCCGATACTCGGGAAAATTACTCTTTTGGGCCTCGACAGCTCTAGTTGAAGAGAGCTCTTCCCAACAAAGAGGTCAGAAGAAGAAATGACAAAAGGGAATGAGAAAGAATAAGGAGTGATAATGTAAGAGGAAAGTGGTGAAGAAAATGAACTTGAGCGGAAGAGTGCTGTGGTCCGTAATGTGGCTGATACAGGCAGGATGGGTGCTCTTCTCACATGAGAATTTCCAAAACAGAAAAAAAACTTCTTATCCAGGAAGCAGAGAAAATACAAGAAATGTTTAGGAACTGCAAAACTGGAAGGAACTCTGTCCCTCAGTAAAAGACATAGATCTGGCTACTTTTTAAAAATTTACATCTTGTCTTCTCTTTTTTTTTATTGCTTTAATATAACAAATTTCAAAGCCAAAAGTTTCAAAGCTGAATAGAAATCAAAACTTCTCACTTTGAAAACTGTTAGGTCATCACATGTCAAGAAGTGTGCACCTATTTTACAGAAATTATTTGAAATAGAAATTAATAGATGCTAACCTTTTCCTATAAAATAGTTCAGTTTGAAGAAATTGGCAGTTTCTGCCAGAAACATTTTAGTGATAAATTTATTACCAGCTCTATCATATGCTAGATTTTCATGATTAAAGTTCCACCTCAGTGACCAAACTGTGTCAGAAAATGACCTGTCATTCTTCTTTCGTGTCTGCAGTTATCAAATTTTAACCATCATGTTCTACTGCAAAGATGGGTGCTAAACTTCATCTCTTTTGGTGACAAAATTGATGCTATCATAAAAGTAAAACAATTCAAAAAATAATCATAGTAAAATACGGGAGTACTGTTAAAATAATCAGTCTTATTTAAAATTTATGTGCCATTCATGTGTTTTCCTTTTCTTTATAAATCAAGTCTTCAGTGTCACAGATAGGTTTTGATCCAAGCAAAGAAAACAATAAAAAGAACTGCTAAATCAATCTCAGAATTGATGGGATTTGTTTAGCTTTGGAAAAGCACAGGCATATGTTTCATTGGTATACACCATCGGAAAGAATACACATACAACTCATAAAGCAGAAAAAGTTCACGTGCACAGAACTTGAATGAAAATACTTATATTTATACTATGCTCAACAGCCTTCACGTTTTGTTGACCTGATGTTAAATACATGAGGATGAAATTGCCGACAGAGACCTGAGTTTTCTAGGCCACGGTTGCTGGCATTGTGGCAAGTCAGCACGTTTGCCAGCAGAGCCATTGAATCAGTGACACTGGATGCAAAAGGCTTCGTTCATCTGTTTCTAACAGTTAAGGTGGCCCTTGGAAAGAACTGAGGATGCAATTTAGAGCAGAGACAGATGCTACTCTGAGCAAGAAGAAATCACTGAGTTAGCAAACTGGCTTAAACTAGTCATTCAGGCCAAAAAAAAAAAAAGATGCTAAGTCATCTAGGGACAGAGGGATAATTACAACAACGATGTCCAATTGCCTCCATTTTAATTGACTCACACTGCATACATACTGACTAACGAAATAGAAAAAGCAGTCAGAAATAGGTGACACCAGAGATCAGTTGTTTTATGACTGAGATATTTCTATCTGGCAAAAAGGCTTTTGTGGGAATGAAGATTCACTTAGACTTTGGGGACATTTCTCTTTGCAAAACTGTGGGCCTGTTATTAAACGCCAGTAACCCACATTCTGGGAAGCAGTAACTTTTCTCTGTATTTCTTAATTGTGCTTCATTACAAGTTAATAAGGACATTTACTCTCAATTAAGCAAATCATCCAAGCAGTTGCTTCCTCTCCATTGCAATGAATTGGTTTTGTCAAATGAGGGTTTAATTGCATGTTAAGTATCTTGCTGAATCAGGATCTCTGTGTGTATACCTGTCTATCCAAACCTTTCCTTAGCTCCTGGCATGCTAAAGTACAGGTTCAGGGTATCTGTGTCTTTATCTCCACTTACCGCTCTGATCCTGCTGCCTTGCAGAACGTCAAGTGTAACTAATTTCCCCATAATGGGCAAACTCACCAATGCTGTTAATATTGACAACTGCATTAACCAGCTAGCAAGATGATGCTAAGGAGTCACCATGACTTTGCCACTGGGGAAAAGGCCTGAGGGGGTGTTACATTTTTTGGAGAATGTGCCTCTGTATTGAGCCTCTTCACCTGACTTGGCTGCTGTGTGAGCACTGGGCCAGAAAATGCTCTCAGGAACTCTTCCCCTCAGCTCACCTAAGCCTGTCAGCGCCATGGCAAGCTCTTCAGTCCCACTCTGACACCGATAACAAATGCTTGGTTTTATCCCTGTTAATTCAGATCTCACCTTGCAAGGTATAAGCCACAAGTTGGTGAATTATCAGCTTTCCTAAGAACCAGGTAAATCCAAAACCACTACGTCATGAACAACAGCACGGAAGTGATTATAGCAACTGCACTAAATAACTAATATAATAGCAGAGGTTCCTGTGGATCATCCATCAATGCATGCATCTCTACGTAAGCCACCAAGAAACTTTTAAGAAGTAATGCAGTGTCTTACCTGCTTTTTCCTTACACAGCTTCTGAAACAGCCCCTGTAAGAAAAAAAATAAGTTTTCTTTAATAATTATACATTTCTTTCCTTCAAGTAAGCTCCAAATTTCAGGATGACAATATATGTTATTATTAATCATCACCACCTTACACGAGGCATAAAACCCAGACCTCATCAATAAAAATCATGGGGAATATCTAGTTTTGCTTGCTAAGGACAACCTGGAGCCCATTCCCAAACCAGGTTCACCTGTCTTGCAGGGAGCGAGCTTAGGAGCAGCCTCTGGCACGAGCAGGGCACATGCTGCAGGGACACACGAGGTCCAACACACTGGGAACACGCTGGAAAGTGTCTCACGAAGCTGGTGGGGCTCGAGGAGCACACAGGCAGCTGTACCAGCGGGGGGGAAACAGAGGACATGGTGGCTGGAGCAGCTCAGAGCGGTGGAGTGACGGTTCTTGTTCATTCGTGACCAGGAGAAGGTTCCTCTGCCTGAGGGATGTGGCCAGACTGACTCGCCGTGTTGTTTTGTTGGTATTTTTCATCCACCTGCTTTGGGTCTGCCATGCTAACAGCAAGTGGTGCCATTAACACCATTCTTGGGTGCACATCTTGGTCCATTAGTATTTAATAGCTTTCAGTGCCCAAATGAGGAGGTTGTTGCCAGTGATTAAATGCCTATCACCCATTCTCCTTTCACATGATAGTCCTATCAACTCTCCCAGCAATGCAGCCTGTAAATGAAACCAGCATAATGGGTGAAACCACACCTAATTATTTTATGAAGGCTGAGCCAATTCTTCCAGATACCAGTGAACCCATAGGTGTGAAGTGCCCAGTTTTTAGCCAGCTGAAAAGGCAGCCACTCCTGTACCTTGCAGTGACTTACTCCCTGTTCTTGTTACCTGCTTGTCCCCATATGGACAACCATCTGCACCTTTCCATCAGATGCACCAAGTGCTCCATTACCTCTTCAGTCAATACTGTCTCTGCAGCCTTGATAGGGATCTGTCTATAAAAACATGGGGTTTATTTACCTTTTGTTTAGTTAAGAATTTTACTGAGATACTGCAAAATTCCTCCTCTAAGCATGGAACTGAATTGGTTAAGCATCTCTGTTAGTAATAGGAAAAGCACAGCTAGACTAGAGTTATTTTCCCTTCTGCAAGGCAATTTCAATGTAAAAAAGCCTCTTGCTCCATTTGAAGGTCTGCCTGAGCAGCAGCTGAAGTTCGCCTGTCTTTAGCCGGCAGGGACCAAGTGAGTTGGTCACTTCTAGATGGGAAAATAATGAGTGGCTGAGTCCAAATCAGGTTTCGTTAATGGCAACTTGTAGTTTGGCTTTAGCTCCAAGTGGAGGCCAGCTCTGGCTCCCGCACACTACTGCATGCTTGCCTGGATGGAATTGATTGTATAGATTGCATCCAGGCTCCCTTTTGATTTTTAGTTCAGTGATGGTGAAATGCCTGCGGAGACTGGAGCTGAGCCCCCTTCCTCAGTGAGGGGCCACCCGTGCCGGGCTCTGCGGTACCTGCACAGACCCCCACGCCAGACCTCTTCCACTCTTCCTCTTAGAGAGGCTGGAGGATCTTCCTCCCCCTAGGTCTTCTACAGATAGAGAAGAAAAATGTGCTTCCGATTCCCATTTGCCTGAAGAGGAAATTCAACTTATTTCCCATGTCTTTACACATTGGGCTGTTCTGCAAAGAGTAAGGAACAGAACTACAGCACTACAAGCCAAAATTTCTCCAGCAGTCACTTAAGGAGTCAGTGCTGAGCCCTCAGGAGAGGGCTCTAGCAGAAGCATCTCACTTCCACAGAGAGGGAAATTCAGACATACGGCTGTGTCGATTGGCAAGGGACAGGCAGGTCCCACATCAGCGTGCCCTGGTTTTGGGCTGCCTTGCTGTGTGAGGACCATCATTCTGTCCGTCCACTGTGCAGTGAGCCACGTTGCTCTCAATCACCCTGCTGGGGACAGGCACCTGATTTTTCACATTGTGATGCTGTCATAAGCACACTGGAGCCGGGTGCCTAAATTGCCATACTGAATCTTGGGATAGGCACTTCTTGAGGAATACATAAACAATATGCGAATCAAAATAAATATGTCAGTCCTGCTTGGATAGCTAGTTTCTGTGTTCTAGTGTAGCCAGAAGGGCACCAGCTATTATGAAATCAAACCCAGGCTATATTAACTTCCAAAATCTTTTTAGGATGCCATATAAAAAGGATGCAAATTGTTGCTGGAACAATCCCAAGTGGCAACAGAAAGCTGCCAACTAAAATGGATTTATGGAAATAATAATGATAATGCACTATATAACTGATTGTGTAACAAAATACATTTACTGGAGGGCTAGCATCCCATCTGAGCAGCATGGCACCATCTAATCAAATATATGGAAACCATGGACCAAGAGAGTACAACTCCAGCCAAAAGGCTGTTGCAGCACCTGCTGCTATGAATAATAAAGAAGTCATCTGCTCTACAACTCCAGCTGTAGCAATTCTGCAAGTGGAAGTATCAAACAGAAGCCAAAGACAAACACGCTCTGCTGATATAACCATGTTTTATTTGCTGAAGCATGTAAACCGCACACAGAAACCAGAAATTTATTAGGGTCTGTTTCTCCCCCCTCAGCAGTCCTGTGTCTCGGTGGGGCCATCCCACACTCACCTACACGAGCAAAGGTCCCCAAGAAGCCTACCCGGGCGACCACACACTTTGCTTTATCACCAGAGCACGAGGAGCCAGTCTCATGAATCAGGCAAGTCTACGCTCAGCAGCGGAGCAGCTAGTTCAGGGGACAACTTGCAATTAAGCGAAGCTCAGAGGGCTCATCTACACCGCGGAAGAGAAGACGGCCGTTGACGAGGCCGAAGTCAGGTTTGCCCCCCCCCGACTCATCAGCTCTGGCCCCGTTACGAACTGCTCTGAGGAGCTCTGCTCGCAGCAAGGCAGCGACTGGCAAGTGTGCCCTCAGCACGGGGGACCAGGGGGCAACCGAGGCCACTGGCCCTTGGGCGAGGGACCGGTCCCTGCCCCACGTTTTTATTGCCTTATAAACACAGCCTCTGCGTCCGCAGTATCAAATTTATGGGTCCTGGACAGAGGAACAAGGTGCCCAGAGAATTAAGAAATCACCGCCTGAATCTGAACCCCATAAAGCAAGATGAAAATAATGTCTCTGTTCAATGGATACCTAAAAGCTGGGACGCCTTTCGGCAATCCCATTAAAGCCACCTTTCACTTACAGAGCCATGCATGTGAAAGAGCGTATTTGGGGCACAAGGCACAAGAGGGAAGAAAGGCTGTGGATCTAGAGGGGGGGAGGAAAGTAAATATAGCGCATTTATAAATAACCTGAAAGATTTTCCTGAAAGGCATTCTGTGTGGAAGGAAATTACTCAAATGAACTCCTTGGATTAAGTGGAAGTGAAGGTAAAAGCAAAGCACCAGCATTATAAACTCAACAAGCAAAATAAACACACTCATCAAAAAATGTTTCTCTGATGTGTATATGATCTTTCATGGTTATAAGTGATCGGGGCATGGAACTCACCAAACAACTGGATCAAATGATTCAATAACGTCCCAGTAAGTTTACTGTCACGTAAAATCTTTTTTCTGACACAAAAGATGAATACAAAATGGTTGACTTGAACAACTTCAAAACTATTTTAATTTGCAACAGCACAGGGATTCTGTAATGCCAGCCAATCCCATAATATCATATACCATTTAAAAGAAAAAAAAAAAAAAAAAAAAGATCACTTTGTATCCAAGTCTTTTGCTTCCCTCTTCCCCATCAACTCGTATTAGTTATTAGCTATTTTATAGACTAATTTAAAATATGCCCAAATCTGCCACTGATATTTCAGAGTACCTGTCAAACTGCAATCATTCACACTCAGGAAATCACACCCTCAAAAAAAATAAAGACCGTAATTAGTATATCTGTCCAGCATGCAAATAACTTTTCTGGATATTTAATAAAAAGCCACAGAATTTATTCAACATAGATATGGTATCAAAAATATCACTGCTATCAAAGAAACCCTGGCATTTTGACAGGACTACTTGACATCTGCTGTTAATAAAAGAGGCTTTAGACTCTGCAAGCTTACGTTCTGCGGTGAGCAACCAGCAGCACCACTCCGAAGCACACCATTTCCTTCGGAGGAAAAAAGGATGTATGACTTACTGGATAACTGATACATAAGGAAGGCACTCTGAGCTGGAAAGGTTCTGCAAAGTATAAAGACTGAAAATCCTGCTGGTTCTTCATTCTAGTGATTTAATAATCTGCCAGGCTTTAATTAAAGTGACATATAGACAGCTCTAAAAGACGAAACCAGCAATCCACATGCAAAACTCAGTCACTTGATTAGCAGGTTTACTAGATCCTTTCATAAAGATGTGACAGAAAGAAAGAAAATCCTAGTTACTACTTCAAGGTAAAATTCTGCAGTCCAAAATGGGAAGTAATATTATGACACTCAGCAATGTCAGCCTTAAATTGAAGCTGCCTGGCCCCAGAAATGAGATCTTCAGTCTGGATTACACTTGCAAGTTCCTTAAAGAGTGTTAGTCAGCTGAGAATAATGGCAATATTAAAGTTATCCCATAGAAAACACTGCTGAGACCACCGTGTCAGAAATCCGATTTCTCTCAGAGGGTTGGCACCAATATTTGGTACAGGATTGAAACCTCTGTTGGATTTAGGTGCTTACGTTATATCTTCAGAGATGGACAACTGGGTTCATAATTTTCCTTTAAAATGCAGACACTGTGGACGTGTTTTTGGAGACCATGTTTAATGTACAGCCTGAGCATTATTAGAGAAGTTACTCAGGGCATGGAAGACAGACCTTCTTGGCTGGATGGGATTCAGCCTCATACCCACTGCATAACAACGTGCTGGCCTCCTTGCCAGGTTAGAAAGTAAGAGAAAGGGGAAATTCTCGATTTCTTCCATCAAAGCTGAGGTATTGCACTGCAAACTATTCATGATGGATGGAGTAAAAGAAAGAACA